GTGTGGAGAAAAGGAAAAGAATTCGAACTTAACTATAAACTATACGGAAGAAGAAGAAGTAATCTTTACTAATAAATTGACTAATCACCCTACCTGCCTTCCTCTGTGGTGTCATGTTCTTGGTAAAATTGTATTCCACGTGCCCGTGGCCCAGTGGTCACTTGCTGCCTCAAAGAGCTATCCGTAGTTTGCACTCTCATGTCACGAATTTAATATCCTCCACTAAAACTTTTAATATACTAACCTCTAACCATAACCCTTATAAAAAAAAAAAAAAAAGTTCTTGAGAAAATTGATGTCTAACAAAAACTTCCATCACCTACAATTACTGACTTTTACTTTTTGCATGTTATGACCTCAGTTGATGATAAATGATCATAAATACCAATAATGGTAAAAAATAAAGAAATCTAAAGTTAGTTGCTAAGAAACCACAACCACAAACCCGGATGCCCCACAATGCCTTGCTGGAAGCACCTGATCTCTTGATTTTGATATGCAAAGGCCGAAGCCTTATCTCCTGCACTCCTGCCTGCTGGATCCTCCACCAATCATTGTACCTTACACCTTCTGTATCATCTGCAGATTCAAGCTCGCATTTTGCTGCGGTTCCACTGGTTTATGCTCCTCTTTTATCCCTCGGTACTTTTTAATCTTGACTCCTATTTCTGTTTCTTATCAGATTCATTATAGCTTGATTTGCTGTAGAGTGCAAATTGAAGTCAAGGTTTTGATATAAAGGGTTAAGGGTGATTTTTCTTCAAAGGGGTTTCCGTTTCTCAAAGGTCAGATCTTTTTATGCTTTTTTGTGTTTGCATTTTCCTGTAAATTGGAGGCAGTTTTCACAAAGATTTCTAGATATGGGTTCCTCTTGAATCTTAGAAAAAGCTGTCTTTGTATCTCTCTCGGATTTCTGATTTTCTTATACGGGTTTGGTCTATATCTAGAGAAAAAAAATGCAAAAGATCCTCATATAAACAAGTGGGTATTTGTGAAAATCCAGAAAAAAAAAAATCAAGATGAAAATTCAATGCGATGTTTGTGAGAAAGCCCCTGCGACAGTGATTTGTTGCGCGGATGAGGCAGCACTTTGCCCAAAATGTGATATTGAAGTCCATGCCGCCAACAAGCTTGCAAGCAAGCACCAGAGACTTCTTCTTCAGTGCCTCTCCAACAAGCTTCCCCCATGTGACATTTGCCAGGTAGCTACAATTTCCTGAGTTTCTCTCAAGCTTTTGTTCTGAATTCTGATATCTGAGTTGCATTTTGTTGGATAGGTTCCTTTCCCTAATTGTTGTACAATGCTTTGCAATATCAATAGTTAGGAATATCATCTCTTACTCTTACTTTCCATCAATTTGATGTACAGGAAAAGGCAGCCTTCATTTTCTGTGTTGAAGACAGAGCTCTTTTTTGTAAGGATTGCGATGAACCTATCCATTCAGCAGGTAGCCTTTCTGCAAATCATCAGCGGTACCTGGCCACTGGAATCCGAGTTGCCCTGAGCTCTAGTTGCTCTAAGGACAATGAAAAGAGTTCCTTGGAGCCTCCCAATAGGAGTGCACAACAGATCTCCATGACAATACCCGCACAGCAACAACCAAACTTCTCACCTCCGTGGGCTGTCGATGACCTGTTGCAATTTGCAGAGGCTGAATCTCCTGACAAGGTGAGATTCAACGTGTTTCTACTTATTACCCATGCTAATAAATGATTTGCTTCAGAAAAAATATATGGAAGACTTAAAATATGAAGTTTCCCACAGAAGTCTAGAATCTCTTGTGCACAACTGATTATAATTGTATATCATTTTGGTGGACTAGAAGAGTGTTGAGACATGGTTTGACATGCAGTGTTGGATGTAAATAGGCTGCAAAAATGGAGACCATGATTGCATCATGCAAGGTTGGCTATGGTTGGGTTTCGGAACCATTTCAGGGATAAACATGAGAAGAGGAAGAGCCATTTTCATTGATGAACTAGACTTTGTTCATATTTCGATACGTTTTGGAGTGAGTCTGGTAATTTTGTACAGGATTAATTTGGACTGACATGGGTGATTAGTTCATACACTTCCTGAATTATTGTTCTGCTAGTTGTACTGAATTGAAAACGGTTGATTTTGAACCGGTTAACATCTAGGATATCTATATGGTCCTCAAAGCTTTGCGCATGTGAAACGCACCGTGATCATTATTTTGCTGTCCTGGGTGACAGGGACTTATCAGAAATTGATAATTGTCTCAATACTTTTTATCATCTTCCCCTAAAATAGTTCTTCTCTTTATGCAGATGCAGAAGGAACAACTTGAGCTTGGGGAGTTCGAATGGTTGGCAGACGTGGGTCTGTTTGGTGAGCAATTACCCCAGGACACTTTTGCAGCAGCTGAAGTTCCTCAGCTTGCAATACCACAGTCAACCAGTGTTACCTCATACAGACCTGCCAAATACAACATGCCCCTGAAGAAGCCTAGGGTTGAAATCCCAGCTGACGATGATGATGAGTTCTTCACTGTGCCAGATCTTGGCTAACTCTAGATGGAGACTGGAATC